AGTGGAAACCCATCTAAGGTCTTTGTTCGGCTGAATCCATTTCAAAAGGTTTTTCTATACATTTCCAATATAATAAAATGCCCGAAAAACTGGGACTCATGGGTCTTTACAGATGAACACAATTTTTTTTTTCTGATCCAAACCAGCGTCCTCAGGGCGCCGGCACCGGGATCCTGCCCTCAGAGCGGCCCTGACCTGCTGCTCCGCAACCGTGGGGAAGAGAATCGGGAAAACGGTCTTACAAACCGGAAAAGCAACGCTTCCAACGCCCGCGGCCTGCTGCACTGCAGATATGCCGGCTTTCTCCTCAGCGGGAGGAAAGGGCGGGCGGGCGGCAGGGCCTCCAGCGGCCTCCCTCGCTTCCGCTCTGCCTCCTTCAAGCAGCTGCCCCCCAGGCCAGGCCTCCTGGTTTCTGCGAGGCGTCGACTGAGAGCCCGCGCGCCTCAGCTCCCTCCTCGCCACCCTCAGGAGACGCTCCTGGCTCCTGGCTTTCCTCGCGGCCCTCAGGAGCCAATCCCAGCATTCCCCGCGCTTTCCCAGCGTGCCCTGCGCTCTCCCAGCATGCCCTGCAAGCCTTGCGCTCCTGGCAGGCAATGCAGGTCAGCTTTTCCCGCCAACGCAGGAACCGACCAAAGCCGGCCATGGATGACTCGGTGAATCCCTGAGAGCGTCTCGCAGCCCAAGCAGGTGTGGGTGAGGCCGGGACACAAGGTTCTGGCCACCCTCCAAGACGGGGAAGCTGGATCAGTGCCACAAGTCCAACGGGGAGCTCCAGCGCTGAAGCCCCGGCTAACTGCGTGCTGCACAGGGCTGCCCAGCCTCTCGCCTCCGCACGTTTCCCCTCAGATTCTCATGCTCGACTTCACAGCTTCTGCAGTTCCTTTAGTGGTGGCAATCTCCATGACTGGAACATCTTCATGCCTGGTGTGGAGGGGAAGCGTGGTGGTGCAAGCTCGTGGGAGCAAATGCCCGAAGCGCCTACCGTAGTGCAGATGCATTTCTAGGGGCTGCTGCTAGAGCACTAGGCAAACAGCATTCCCAGTCTTCGTGGGACGCACATTTTAAATGGGAGTTGGAAAACAGATGAGCAAGATAAATATGCAAAATCTTAGTATGGCAGATGGCGATAGGTGCGTTGGAAAAACATTAAGTAGGGTAGGGAGGCGGGGAGTGCCAAGGAGAAGTCGTTAGGTTTAATAGCATGGTCAGGAAGGCCTCGTGGAGAAGGGGATGTTTGAGAAAGACATGAAGGCGAGAGTGGGCAGCCTCGTGCATGTCTCAGGGGAGAATGTTTGTTATGAGAGAGGGAATCCTATAAAAGACCAGGGCAGGAGGGGCACCATCTGGCTGCAGTAGAGCAGGAAAGAAGTGGCTCCCTGAGACCGGAGGAGATACAGAGAGCCAGACAGGGTTAGGCCCGATAAGCCATGAAAAGTATTAAAGGTGCATCCAGCCTACTGTGCTGGAATGGACTGAAGGGGACAGAGAAAGGATGAAAAGCAGTTAGGAGGCAATGGCAGTAAGGAAAGAGGTGGCTTGGATCAGAGCAGTGGCAGTGGAGAGGATGGGATGGGATTGGATTCTGGATATACTTTGAAATTAGATTTAATAGGATTTGGATATGGATTGATGTGGGGTCTGAGAGAGAGGGAGAGGAATCAAGCATCACTCCAGGGTTTTTATACTAAGAATTCAGAAGGATTGGGTTGCCATTAATTACAAAGGGGAAGACTAAGAGGAGCAAGTTTGGAGTTGTTGAGATTGAGAAATGAAGAGGAACAAGAAGAGTGCTGGGGAAAGATCTGCATCTAATAGATGTTTTTTAAAACCCTAGACCAGATTGGATCTCCAAGAGAGTGCATGTAGGAAGAAAAGGAACCCTCACACTGGATCCAGGACACCCTAGTATGAGGTCGGGGAGATGACAAGGAACCTCATGGGTGGAATTTCAGGAAATTTTCATTAAGTCAGAGATTTGCTACTTTTCAATCCCACATCTGCCCAGCTCCCAGATGTGGTATTGTGAAAGAATGAGATTTTATATTGTGTTTAATGTCTAATCAGTTAGAGTCATTTACCTGTTTTATTTGCAAAATAATTTTTGGCAAAGAGGAATGTTTTTAGATATCCTCCTATCAATAAGAATGTGTTCGATATTTATAATTCTTTGGTTACTTATGTGAGATCATAGTAAATGAGTATCACAAGGTTGTTTAGACAAATCAGCCTCCTAAGACAAATACACTTTACATTAATTGAACAAAACACAATCTTCTGAAATAGCCTAACAAATGTAATGTCTCAAATTTAACACTTACAGTCTGAAGGTTTTATGTCACAGTCTTTGGAATTATTAAAACAAACCTTTTAATCAAACAAGCCAGAAAATCTCTTTGTCCTACTTGGTATATACACATGGGGAAAGAAACCCCTCTGTTCTATGAAGACAGGTAAAAAGTATAGATTCAATTTAAATTTTGTGATAACTGTGGATATTCACTAGCCTTTCCTATGTATCTAAACAAAGGGAAGCCGAGTGTTCTTTATTCCCAAAAGCACATGTATCAACACTTTCTGTTCTTAATATCTGTGCTATTGAACTTATGGCCCCTGGTTTTAACAATATTTTTAACCAAGGCAGAATTAAAGGCATTTGAAGTTTGTTTGTTTGTTTGTTTGTTTTGAGATGGAGTCTTGCCCTGTCTCCCAGGCTGGAGTGCCATGGCACGATCTCGGCTCACTGCAACCTCCGCCTCCCAGGTTCCTGCATTTCTCCTGCCTCCGCCTCCCAAGTAGCTGGGACTACAGGTGCGCGCCACCATGCCTGGCTAATTTTTGTACTTTTTAGTAGAGACGGGGTTTCACCATATTGACCAGGCTGGTCTTGAACTCCTGACCTCGCGATCTGCCCGCCTCGGCCTCCCAAAGTGCTGGGATTACAGACGTGAGTCACAGTGCCTGGTCTGAAGTTTTAAATTATGTTCACATTACCAAATACCAAATAGGCCATTTCTAATCACATAAAAGGTGCTTAACAGATATTTATTGAATGGATTCACAGGCAGATGTCTCCCAAGCTTTTATATTATGCCTGTGAGAAACTGGTACGATTTTATGTCATGAATTCTGAATCTTGCTACCATCTTCGATTTAGCCGATAAGCTCAAAACCAAATTTGAGATCCACTTTGAGCAATTGTGCAGGACTTGAGGAAATGCATCTTTATATTTGCATGAGAGGAGCTGTTGTTTAGTGGTTAAGAGCATGGTCTTTGGGGCCAGGCTGCCTGGATTTGAATCCTGGTTCTGCCAATTACTAGCTATGTGATGTTAAGGTAGGAAACTTAGCCTCTCTGTACTGCAGTTTCATTACCTTAAAAACAGGGATTATAATAGTATTTTTTAGGGTGATAATATACCCCTTAACATAATAAAGGAGTTAATGCACATTAAATACATAGCATACTTACATCAATGCTTGATATAAGGACAATTTAAGTGTCAGTTATAGTTGATACTAAAACCATGGGAAGAAGTATAAAACAGGCTATGGAGGCTCTGGTTTTAATACTAGTCACGTTTACTATGTGTCCTTCGGCCTGATAGTTTGCTTCTCTAAGATGCTATTTGACCATATGACACATGGAAATGATAGTCACTAGCTCAGAGTCTTCTTGTTAGGATTAAATGAGATAATGTATATATGTATATAAAATGTTTGGAAATATTTCCACATAATTAACACTTACTGAATGTTAGTTCATCTTCTTACTAACTTTACTCTTGTTTTATCTTACTTTACCACCTTGGTTTTCCTTTGCTTTGGTTTTTATCTGCTATAGATTGAGTCATGTGTCTCCCCTAATTCATATGTTGAAGCTTAACCCCCCTACATGTGACTATATTTGGAGACAGGGCCTACAAGGAGGTAATTAAGATTAATGAGATCATAAGGATGGGGCTGAGCATATGTTAGGAGGACAAGCTAGAGGAGCTACCCACTCCAGGGCCTCCTTTCTGTGGAGAGCTGCAGAGACATCAGGAGGACCTGTCTGCAGAGAGGAGCTACACACTCCAAGGCCTCCTCTGAGCTATTGTGTCACTCAATAAACCTCCTTTGCCTTGCTCACCCTTCTCGTATCCACATACCTCATTCTTCCTGGATGCAGGAGAAGAACTCAGGACCTACTGAATGGCAGGGCTGAAAAAGCTGTAAGACAAACAGGGCTGAAACACACCCCTTGCTCACCACGTTGCGGGTGAAAAGGAAAGAACTGTAGCCCTTCAGGGACCCCAGACCTGGGAGCTCCCCAAGCCTGGGTTGTGACTCCCTCTTAGGGGCCCTGCGGTTCCTGGAGTCTCCAAGCTTCTGGGCAACACCACATTCCCTGGTGGCAGCCGTGGAAGCTGCTTGCAGGGTGCCTGGTCCAGTTGTAGCCTTGCAGAGAGCCGGCGCCTGTGCCAGCACCTGGAGCTGCCCACCCTGCTGCAGCAGCCAGTGTACCTGACTGTGTGCAGTGGCTGAACCCCATGCTTGCTCGCTCACATACCCCTTGTCCTTCCACACCTGGCTCACCATTGGCAGGCATGGGATCCAGGCCAGTAGTGTGAGCTGAGTGCCGCCTGCCAGGCCAAGTGGGTGGAATAAGCCCAGGGGACCTGAGCAAATCTCAGGCAAAGGTGCCACCAGCCACAGAGGTTTCCTGCCAGAAAAGTGACACCCAAAATATCCTGTAACAGAATCATTGTACTTTATGCATAATTCCTTTTTTGCTATCCTTTAGCGAAGTTCGCTTGAATATTCTGACAGTGCTATAAGAAAGCAAAGTAAAGGCTATGCATCCCCACTTGTGCCACAGTAATGAAAAGAGAAGAGTAGTGGTGGGTGGCAAGGAGTGATATTGGTAATCACTGAGGGAATTGAGGGAAAGAAGGATCCAAGGGATGCAGTTGCATACTTGGACACTAACGTCCAGGGTTTAGTTTCTTCTAGAATCAACCTTAGAGTTCCTAGACCATTTTTATCAAGGTAGATAGCTGTGTATCTGACATGTGACTCCCAGCAGCATAGGGTATGAAAATGCCATTGCTGTCTCCATTGTTCCAGTTGTTACTTATCAAGCATCTCAGACTTGGACTTAATCAGTCCAAGTTGATTACAGCACACATTTTCGTTGTAAACTATTTTCACGCTGCTGCTGATGTTAGCCTCCCTTTCCCTGTTTTCTATACTGGAAAAGAAATAAAACAGTATTTCAGCTTTAGTAGAGGTCATGGAAAAAAATTTAAAACTTTGCTGGTACTCTTGCTAGTGATACATAAGTAAGTAAATCCACATTTCTCAGTGTGGTTACAATGTAATTATGATTTTCCATGTACTTAAAATCTATCTTCTGGATCACATTTACGCCCTTATTCATTCAAAAACATTTATTGAACATCTGCTGAGTGCTAGGCACTGTGCTAGGTGCTGGAGATAGCAATG